GCCGATTGCATCGGATAAGTTCTCGTTGAAAGTCTTCTCGCCATCTTCCTACAAGTTTATTTCAAATTTAGAAATGCAAATGAATGTTTCATGCAAATTGGGCACCTTTCATAAATTGATCCTTCACTAAATTTCTCTAACGTTATTGGTCAAGTGAAACTCTCTAAGTGAAATACTTCTATTTCATGTACTAGTAGTTGAACATAAAATCTTCTTATTTAATTGCAATGGCATTAAAATGAAAAAAATCGATGACTTCATTTTGAACTCATTTAGTCTGAATATTTTAAATTCGCGACAATAAATTAGAAAAAATGAAACATCGTTGGGGGATGTACGATGTGAATTTAGTTTGATTTGGAAACTCGGTAAAGTTTTGCGCCAAATATACACTTGCATACGTTGTATACATATGCGCGAAGCCAAGTGCATGCGTGAAACGCCACCGAGTTCTTAACGCCATGTTTGAGCTTGTTAAACCCGTAAAAGTTAATATTAAGAATTCCTTGTAGCCTGGGACTAAGATACATAAATAAAAATGGTTTCCGCAGTTATTCTAATTTTTTCAGATTTTTCAAAGTCATTTTTATCATGCAATAGCATTTGAAACATTTTCAACGTCAGGTTTCGCTCGCTCAGCGTATTCAGTCATCATCGTCGTCAGGGTTGGGTAAGTATAATACGTCAAGTAATATACGTGGTTTTCTACACGCATATTACAACGTATGACACGTCCCTGGTTTTCTACGCAGGCACGAAGTATATTACCCCAAACTAAATGTGCAAAGCGCATGCGCAATATCGTCAATAGCCAATGAGAATCCATTTATTTATCTGTAAGAGAGATTCTCATTGGCTATTAAAGGGTTTGCGCTTTAATCATCGACAAATCCGCGCACATTCGAAATCAGCCTTGGAAATTTGAAATATTGCATATATGTGCATTTGCCGTTTGTATATAACGGCTGGTAACGGCTATTTGAAGTCGTAAGTTTCGTAACCAATATTTCTATCAAAATGTATAAAGGTGGAAGACCAAAAAGTAAATTATGGGATGAAACAAATGGACCAGATGGATGTTTGTTCATATCCTAGCGGATATCGCATGCCCTACGTCTGTCTTGTCCGCCATATTTGATACGTTTTCTCCTAGTTTTCTACGTTTTCTACGGAAAACTACTTGATGTACGTAATATACGTTAAAAACCTCGAAAATCGTGAAATTACCCAACCCTGCATCTTTCTACGTGCTTTCTTGCACCTGTAGATGAGAAGTTCCTCATTTATCAGTTCACTGTTATCTTAGAGTTCCGTAGCGCCATCTAGGGATCGATTCTGTAACTATGGTGAGAGTGCTCACTGCTCGCATTGTCATCTCTGTTAGTTTACTCGGCCGATTTTTTTTAGTAAAAATGTGATATCTTTATACTGAATGATCGTGGTCCGAGATCTCGGAGTTTCTTATCGAATAATCTTATGCGAAGTATATCNGCGAAGTATATCACATTTTTACCATATGAAAGTTACGAAATCGCAGATGTTCACTTTTAGAATTTTCACTAGATTCATTAGAAGTCCTAGAAGTACAGAATCGGCCCCCTACTCAAGGACTCAAACATTTCGACAGGTAACCTACAAGCAGAGATGAGCATCATTAATGCAATATTAATCGATTGTCTTCTGTTTAGTGTCGCCACACACAGGGGGGAGATCAATCAGGACCTCGTCGGGTTGAGTTTCCTGCTCTCAAACGTAAGTAACGCATCGACCTTCCGACCGAGTCTCGATATTAATTTACCAAGAATAATTGATTTTAATTTTTTTCTCATTTAGTGTCGGAGCTCAAGAAACATCCCGTGCAATAAACGACTTCGTCGGGCCACATTCCTCTGTGTGAAGTGTAAGTGATAAATCGCACGAGTCAATCTGAATTGTAATTGTTTCATTAATGCAATATTAATCGATTATCTTCTGTTTAGTGTCGCCACACACAGGGGGGAGATCAATCAGAACCTCGTCGGGCCGAGTTTCCTGCTCTCAAACGTAAGTAACGCATCGACCTTCCGACCGAGTCTCGATATTAATTTACCAAAAATAATTGATTTAAATTTTTTTCTCATTTAGTGTCGGAGCTCAAGAAACATCCCGTGCAATAAAGGACTTCGAGGAATTTTAGGATGTCGAGGTGATGATGAAGAGATTGATAGATCACACCTGCTAATTTTATCGATTTCTCAATAAAGAGAGTCTGTTTTGAAATATCTGCTTCTATAATCATTCAATGTAGGATAATCACATGTTTCAATTCCTTACATTCGGATATCCTTACCGATAATGTAGGTTCTCGCCCCTTTGAAACCAGTTTGATTTCTGATCGCTAGGTGACACTTCATTCGGACCATACTCTTTTATCAACGGTAAAAGTTCTCGCCCTTTTGAAAGCAGTTCATATTTTCGCCGCGGGATGGCATTTCATGGAAACCGTACGTCACTGTGCCAGCCGTGCCTCACTTTCTAACAAAGGCTTGGAACATCTCCCTGCCCATCTCTGTTACAAGTTAGGTGAAAATGACAGATAACCTACAAGTTAAGTTACCTGTCATTTTCATTCGCATAACTGTCTGAACAAAGCCAGGTATGTATGTACATACATGATCAAATTATTTTAATTTTCTATTGAATTTTAAATGGAAGTTTTTCCAGAGGCACGTTTCGGCTTGCTATCTGAAACCCCGCAAAAGCGGCTTGCAGGCCGATTGCATCGGATAAGTTCTCGTTGAAAGTNCATGTTATGCTTGTCTCTCTGATGCTCTGATGCTTGTTGATCCAATGAAACAAAAATTGTTTGTCAATGTATGTTCATGATAAATACAAATGTGTTTACAATGAGATTTTAATGTCTTACAGGAAATTAAGACTAAAATTAAAACTAGGCGTAACCAAATGAAAAAATTTAGTTTACTATAAGCAAATGACATGGTGTTTTTTTAAATAAATTGTATGATGAATTTTCGGACACTGAACTTCAAACTTAGCAATAATTTATTTCTAAGAAATAAAACACGAAGTTTCTACAACTTACAAAGAATAGTGAAATCTCCACAAAAACAACACTTTCGGTGTTAAAAAACCTTACGTCAAATATATTTATTTTGACATTCCCAGAAAACGTATACTTAAACAACTGACTCATAAACTACAGATCGTGTAACAAAAATAAATAAAATCGGTATAATTAAAAAAGAATACCGCGAATTTATAAGAAAATGGTATCCTTCTATTATTCGCCAGAGAAAGTTATGAAATCAATTACTTTTGCTAAATACGTGGATGTTTCTTATAGCCGCAAAAAGGTAAAGTCAAATTTTATACGAAAATGATATCATTCCATCTTTCCGAGAAAGCAATGAAATCACTTTTTCCAAATACCTTAATTGATTCTTATGACTGCAAAAAGGTAAAGTCAATTCAGTTTGTTCCTACCCTAATGAAAATGATAACGTTTAATTTCACAAATGTAATCAAATCAATGTCACATACAAAATACTAAATCTAAATAAAATAGATGAGTGATACTTACCCTCTACAAAAGTAATAAAATTGATTCCTTTTATCACATATGTGATCCGCTTCTTATGTACAAAAATAAAATACGAATTAAAAATGAAATAGTTTTGGCGAACTTTATTACGCTGTAATTGCAACTACTTTTTCTACAACCATTTATTGCGAAATTGCGGATAAACATGTAGCGGGGCTCGCCAAAACTATTTCATTTTTAATTCGTATTTTATTTTTGCACATAAGAAGCGAATCACATATGTGATAAAAGGAATCAATTTTATTACTTTTGTAGAGGGTAAGTATCACTCATCTATTTTATTTAGATTTAGTATTTTGTATGTGACATTGATTTGATTACATTTGTGAAATTAAACGTTATCATTTTCATTAGGGTAGGAACAAACTGAATTGACTTTACCTTTTTGCAGTCATAAGAATCAATTAAGGTATTTGGAAAAAGTGATTTCATTGCTTTCTCGGAAAGATGGAATGATATCATTTTCNTATTTTATTAAATGTTTGACATATTAATATTATTTTAAGGTAACTGAACTTATAACATTAATATAACATGTTACATAACATGTTACCTTATTGAGTGGGAAACAATAACAAACATCTAACCTCGATATTACTTTTATGCTACATAACACGTTAGCTTCGTAAACGTCACATTTACCTAACAGTTATATAACAGTGTTCTGTGGGTTCGTATTTGGAATATTACCTCAAAGGTTTCAAATTGGATATTGCTTACCAGAATCGTCAAAGGCGTGACCATTTTCGTGGGTTATGATAAATCCGACAGAACCGTAATTGTAGAGTTGCAGCATTCTGTCGAAAAAAGTCGAACCCACAGACATTATTTTCCTATCGTTGTTATTTGCACTATACTCGGTTACATTGTGTACTCACTTGGAGTTTCCCGAAACAAAAAATGGAGGCGCCAACAGCGGGGCGTAAACGGCTGAAACATAAATACATTACGTAAATTCAGCGGTACTTTCTTCCCCTATTACATTTGTAGAAAAGAAATGCTATTGTTTTAACGTATGAATCTTCACTTATTGTACATTTATGTAACACTATAAATATCTAGCGTAATGTTTATTCAGCGCAAAAATTACTAATTTTGTAAACAGTCTTATTCTTTGCCGCCGCTTTATATATAGTTTTGAAAACATTTATTAAATTGGAGTGTAAATAATAAACCACTTAACCAATGCTACTCTTACTCAAAACATTTGCGTCGATTTGGTAGGCGGCATTCACCTGGAGCATGTCTTTCCATCTGCAATATCGATATTCAATTTTCAAAACGAACTTTCACTGCTTGTGAAATCCAACATTCGACATAAATTATTGAAATACGGTCGCTTACATCTTTTTTGCCAAATGTTCTGCACGAGTCATTTTTATGTGTTTCTTCAATCTGTTTCTCTTGTGTTCCTTTACAGTTTCGAAAAACTGTTCAGGTATTACGTGTAACTGGTACAAATGAAGGAGAAAAATACCCTTGTTAATTTTTTGGTTCCGCTGATGAAGTAAAAATAACTTAGAAAACTCACTAATTTTCATTCTCGTTGTTCGCGTTGCCGGATTTGGTGTCACAGGATTAGCAGCCTGCCAATTTTTTAAAACAGTCACGAAATACTTTGCGGGCCTTTGTGACATTATTTATGTCCAAAGTACGACATTTACGGAATGTATTTATGTTCAACTTATATAATCACGACTGTAATGTCGAAATCTACTATTTACCTTAGTTAATTGCATTTCTAGGATCATCATGTCAACGATATCTGTTAAAATTGATTGCGGGTTAATACGAGTTCCAGTGGACGGTATAAAATTCCCCAAAACAGTATTTATAAAATTGTTGTAAGCCAAGATATCCGCTTGATGCCTATTAGACCTCATTAAAACGTACTCGGGTAGCAAAAATTGAGGTGGGGTCAACTGTAAAGATTTAATTCTCTGAATTAACATTGAAAAGTCGAAAACGTTATTTAATACAGAGACAAATTCTAAAGAAAATAACGAGATTAGCGCTGCACAACTCTCCGTTTTCTGTTTGGGGAAAAAGTCGCGGAACGCGCCTGAAGATGCAGATACTTTCGAATAATATGATGTGGAACGTTTATCTAAAGGGGATTTAGTCAAATTTTTATACCCAGATTACATAATTGTTTTTATAACTGAAAACGTATACTGTTGTTACTTAAATTTTGTTGCCTTCGTAAAGTAGCAAAACGTTTTCTCCGGGCTTTATTTGATTTTCAGTCCTTACCTTAAGAATTCGCCTTTCAGTCTGGTTTTGAAGGTCTGGTATTATCTGTATTTTAAAAAAAGCCGATGCTCCAAGTCTATAAATTGTGTAATAATGGTCAATGTCTTGCCACTCTTTGGGCGTCCAATTTGGAAGTATAATCGGCCATCCACCTAGTTTCTGTAACGTTTCTTTAATCGGTTCAAGTCCTCTCCGTCTCAGAGTTTCTGTAAAGGAAAATCATTGTTTCTGATTACTATTTAAGGTGAAGTGAAACCCCCCTCAAACCAGTCGATTCGAACTCGAACACTTTTTTTTAAGGGTATTGGATAGAACTGTCCGAAACTTTAACACGTAACTCGTAAGCACCTTGGAATTATCCTGACATTTTCAAAATTTGTTTTTTTTTTTTAAATTGTTTAACTTAGTCCAAACCAGTACCAAAATGACGTCGAGCTCTCATATTTCGATTGATATCCAATTATTGAAGGCCCTAATATGAGGAACGAAAGTGTGAGGACAATTGTACGACAATTTAGAACGCTCTGGTAATAGAAAAACTCGTATTTGAGCGGGGTAAAGGCGAAAAAAGTATCTTATGCGCTTCTATGCTAAAACAATGGTAATACGAGGTCTGGAAGTGAAAATTTAGTTAACATGGAAATCACAGATGGCGCAGGGGGTCCCTCTGCAGTCAATTTGGGTTTCAGAACCCATTAATCTAGGGGATTTCTGGAATTTTACTTCGATTTCTTTATAATTATTGCACGAAAACGACAGATGGAGTATGCCATTTAGTACAACACTCAATATAATTCGACTCGACTGTCAATATAAAAACGAACGTCGGCAACTTAGGTATTTAGAAAAACTATTTTTACCGACGTTGATCAAGTTCCTCGACATGCTTCATTTCACCTTAATACTATTTAGTTAAATATTGCCACCTTACCATCGTCCATACACGTCTTGTGCCAAATTTTAGCTTTCTTCAAGGCAAGAATTTCATTGCGCGGCTCCTCTTCAAGTATTTCTATTAGTAAAACATATCACAATATTTGTAAGCAGTTGAACAATTTTTGGATCTTTGAGACATTATTATATTGGAAGGACGATTTGAATGCAAGTTTCTGTAAGTCTATAAATTCTGCATAAGTCTAAATATGTAGTAATGAATTTTCAAAAGATCAATATCTCTGAATTTCTGTAGAAGTCTTAAGACGGAAATTTGTGTTAAACATTACCTTTAATTTGAGCGGTTATCGTATCCTTGGCCCTTTCAAACTGAGTATAGAAAGGCTTCTTTTTGATATGAGGAAACTTGTTTTCCCAGTTTCCGCAAACAAATTTATAAAAATCATCGCAAGGATTCACGTCGGGGTTAATATTTTGCTTTATATCACTTCCTAGATAGTATTAGATGTTAATTTTGAATCATCGACGCATCGATCACGTCTAAATGATTGATTTACCAAGACTCCAACAGGCAGGTTCATCGCAAATGGGAGTGTTACGTGGAACATTAGGCTTTTTATTTATTACTGGTGTTGAGGGTCCTGTCGCAGGTCGTTTCCTTGGTGCCCCTACTAAGAGGATGAAATGTGTTCTGAAACGCATTAAGAAATATTAACAATAACAGTTATGTCGTTGCAAGTGTATAGTTCTATTCCTTGATTGTTAATACGTACAAGACAAATAAAACAGATATATACGTTCTTGCGCTTTTGCAGAAAATAGGAGAAGACAACGCCATTGCTGCAAATCCTTAGGTAGGTATAGCCTTTTCCTGAACTTTCTACTGCGAAACACAAAAACGGTTCGAATTCATTTGTATGGTTTTATAGTTGGTACTGCTTACGTTTTTACTGTAGGTGATAGTAAAGACATGCTTTAGTTATTAACAGTAGTCGTGATAAGGACTTCAAAAGCGAAGTTGTAGTTAAATAGAATCCGAGAATGTCGTTCGATTACCACATCGTGACACACGCGTGGGATATCAATGTATAAATGTTTTTGTTTCTGGATCTTTATTTAATTCACTAGGAATAAGCAACATCCATTCTGCCATTTATTTGTATATTTAGAGGGGGTTGTAATTGCTTAAATATGAAGAATCGTTTTCGGTGCTTCCTTAATATATATTATCACCACACTTTGCACTTGTTCGGCGGATTCATCTTGTCGTTCGGATTGCATCCGAAAGCTTTACCGAATCCTTCGATGTTTGACACTCCACCATTTATCCTTAAATGATGTAGACTGTGCGCATTATTCTTTCTTCCCTCCAAAACTGTTTTCAATTCATCCTGGGTTTTGTATTCGCACATTACCTAGAAAAAATAATGATTGAAAGTACATATCTTGAATAAAATAAATAAATAGTAATTTCCATAATTACACGTTTCACACACTATATTGAAATCGCTTGAACTCTTGGGACCATTTTTAATTGGAACAAGCAATTGATCAAATACTAGTATCGAGTTGAATGGTGCTCTCTAAAATTTGTGCATCTTAATCCTTAAACGAAAATAGATCATGTTGATCCGTCGTTGCCATATCATAAATGTATATGAAAAATATAAATGTTCCTCTTCAAAAATCACATTCCCACTTTCTTCTCTTTCCGATTATTATTAATAGCGACTAGTTATATGAGAACATGGTAAATGCCTTGTGGTATATGCAAAGTGCAAGTGTATGATTTGCCGCCGTGGATCAATATGAATTTATTCCGTTTAAGGGGTTATATTCAGTTGTCAGGCGGAATTCATACATTTTTTTTCATAACTAAAATGCATTTTTTAATCGAAATCAGCGTGATTTCATATTACAATTATTCAACTTAATATATAATTTTTTTTGTCAAGATGTAATGAAAAATTGGCGTGGAACAGCAATTCTCCGAAAAAGCTTTTTTTTTGCGGTGACCGCGAGATCTCAAAAAGTATTTCACCGATCGGCTTCAACTTTGTAGTGCTCATTCTACGCATAGAGGACTGCTGAATGAACGAAGGATTGTTTTTTTTTAATGAAAAATTGCTGTTTTATTAAGTAAAAACGAAAATGTTATAAGACGAAAAAAGTGATTTTTCAGTGAGACCACTGCCATTTTGGTAAAAATCGGAATTTCGAAAAATCTTTCGTTCATTCAGCAGTCCTCCATGTGTAGAACGAGCCCTAAAAATTTGAAGCCGATCGGTGAAATGCTTTTTGAGATATCCTGGTCTCCGCAAAGAAAGAACCTTTTCGGAGAATTGTTGCACCTCGCCAATTGTGTAATATATCTTGACAAAAAAATTATGTATTTAGTTCAGTAATAGTACCATGAAATACGCTCTGTTTTCGATTAATAAATGCATTTTAATAATGAAAGAAATTCTTAAATTTCGGCTATCACAACTGCATATAACTCCTTCAGGGTTATGAGTAAGGTAATTTTTACTAAAAATTTACTCATACTGGCCCCATATATGAAAAACAGCTGGTTATTGTCGAATTACTCCATATATGGTAGTTTTTCAAATTGCAAATTTTTGCTTTCTGCCTCGAAAGCGGCAAAGGCCGCTTGAAGTCCGATGGCGTCGACCAAATTTTCGTTGAATGTTTTCTCTCTATCTTCCTGAATAGGACTTATTTTAAGCTTAAATGCAGCTAGTGCTTGCTACATAGTTTTTAGATAGAGCTTTTGAGCACACTGAGTTTTTCAAGTACTTATAGTCCAGTAGAACTATTCAAAGGAAATACATCTCATAATAGAACGCCCGATCTTTCCCAATTGATAGCAATAGTATTAAAATGTATAAATTACGTTACTTAAATTGTATGTCATTCTATTAGGCAATAAATAATTTTAATTTGCGACGAATAAATATGTAGGTAATAAAATACACACAAAATATTGTTAGAGAATAGATAATAGAAGTTCCGTGTGGTATACCCAAATGAGGTTAACGCATTCCTAGACGAAGTATTTACTTTAAAGGGTTGTCCAGTAGTCTCATTTCTTATCCCTGGGATATCGTAACTACTAAATTGTTTAATAAAACAAGATCGAATCTTCGTGNTTTTGCAGGTTATTTTAAAATTCATTTGAAGATTATGTATGCAACATTTTATGCTTGTCTCTCTGATGCTCTGATGCTTGTTGATCCAATGAAACAAAATTTGTTTATCAATGAATGTTCATGATCAATACAAATGTGTTTACGATGAGGAGATTTTAATGTCTTACAGGTTATTTTAATATCTTATAGGTTATTTTAATTTGTAGATTAATGTGCGCAGCATAATAAAATCTTTAATGCTTGTTGATTAACAAATTTCCTTACATTCAATGTGTAAAGAATGGAATTCATCAATCATCAGTGGATGCTTCCAATATTTAATTGTTCTTATTGCAATTGACTTTCTTCAAATTGTGAATGTGAAAAACGTGATTGACATTAGTAATATGAATTTTCAGGTTCACACCACTAAATGTAGCAGTAGTTCATAGACGAATCTGAGGCAACGTCACATTTATTCTGAATTTGAATGCGAATCACTACCACGAGTAATATGGTGTAACGATTATTGATGACGTGGTAAAAACATTGAACAATAACTGTTGTTAACACCTTTGATGTGAACTGGAGTCGACAACTATATGTCAAATTTCTGACTTTCCTTATTTCAATCTCAATATATAAGTGTTTTTAGTAACATCGAAAAGAAAAGTATTGATATTTTGATCGTGTCAAAAGTATTGTTGCTCTCAAATTTATTTGTAGCGAGGATATTGATATTTCAATGCTAATACCCTATCAATGCCTCTACATTTACATTAAGTATTTTCAGTAATGATCATCCTAGCTGTTCAGTTCTAGTATTTATTTAGATAGATAGATAGTTCTAGTATTTATATAGAAATAGGTTTTCAGAAATTTCTAAAGTTTGAGACATCCATTGTCTTAGTAATTTGCATAACCATAATGGACTGATTAATTAGCGTCACATCTCACCGATACTATTGTCTGTCTTTCGTCATTAATAAAGAATCAATCTGAATGAAAAAGAATCTTAGTTGATCCTTTCAGGCTAATACTTTACTAAGTCCTTAAAAAATACCTTAGGTGTAAAACAATTGCCAATTACATTCTTGTTTCTTTCTTAAATTATTAAAACAATTTAAATAGTTTCTTCATAAATTTTGGAATCAACAGTTTTTGTTAAACAGATTAGTATTTTCATTCTATGACATATTCAAATCAGATAGTTGTCAAATTATCGTACACTTTGCCCTATGTAATACAAGTACATCTAATCCAAAAATCAGTTTTCTATTATCATCCCTAATCAAATGAATAAATTAAAACTAAGCATAACCAAATGAAAAAATTTAGTTTACTATAAGCAAATGACATGGTCTTGCTTAAAATAAATTGTATGATGAATTTTCGGACACTGAACATGAAACTTAGCAATAATTTATTTCTAAGAAATAAAACACGAAGTTTCTACAAATTACAAAAAATAGTGAAATCTTCATAAGAACAACACTTTCGGTGTTAAACAACCTTGCACCAAATATATTTACTTTGACATTCCCAGAAAACGTATACTTAAACAACTGACTTATAAACTACAGATCGTATAACAAAAATAAATACAATCGGTATAATTAAAAAAGAATACCGCACATTTATACGAAAATAGTATCGTTCTATTATCCGCCAGAGAAAGTTATGAAATCAATTACCTTTGTTAAATACGTGGATGTTTCTTATAGTCGCAAAAAGGTAAAATCAAAATTTATACGAAAATAATATCATTCCATCTTTCCGAGAAAGCAATGAAATCACTTTTGCCAAATACGTTAATTGATTTTTATGATCGCAAAAAGGTAAGTTAATTCAGTTTGTTCCTACCCTAGTTAAAATGATAACGTTTAACTTCACAAATGTAATCAAATCAATGTTTCGTACAAAATACTAAATCTAAATAAAATAGATGAGTGGTACTTACCCCCCAGAAAGGGAATAAAATCGATTCCTTTTATCACATACGTGATCCGCTTCTTATGTGCAAAAATGAAATACGAATTAAAAATGAAATAGTTTTGGCGAACTTTATTACGCTGTAGTTGCAAGTACTTTTTCTTCAACTATTTATTGCGAAATTGCGGATAAACATGTAGCGGGGCTCGCCAAAACTATTTCATTTTTAATTCGTATTTTATTTTTGCACATAAGAAGCGAATCACATATGTGATAAAAGGAATCGATTTTATTACATTTGTGGGGGGTAAGTACCACTCATCTATTTGATTTAGATTTAGTATTTTGTACGTAACATTGATTTGATTACATTTGTGAAATTAATCGTTATTATTTTAATTATGGTAGGAACAAACTGAATTGACTTTACTTTTTTGCAATGATAAGAATCAATTAACGTATTTGGAAAAAGTGAGTTCATTACTTTCTAGATAAAGATGCAATTATATCATTTTCGTATAAATTTTGACTTTACCTTTTTGCGGTTATAAGAAACAATGCACGTATTTGGCAAAGGTAATTGATTTCATTATTTTCTCTGGCGAATAATAGAACAATACCATCTTCGTATAAATTTGCGGTATTCTTTTTTAATTATAACGTTTTTATTTATTTTTATTATACGATCTGTAGTTTATGAGTCAGTTATTTAAGTACACGTTTTCTGGGAATTTGAAAGTAAATATATTTGGCGGAAGGTTTTTCAACACCAGAGGTGTTGTTTTTGTGGAGTATTATAAAAAGACTAACGGCCTTAAGATCTAAGAACTTACTTTAACGGGTTTTCTAGTAGTGTGATTTTTTAATCCTGGAATGTCATAACTGTTGTATTGCTCAAC